AAGAAGCGTTATATATCGACCATTTAAGCCCTAGAGAAAAAGGGCACATATGGAGAAACCAGGCTAGAAACCAGCGACCGGTGTTTCCTATTTTATTCAATCATTTTAGAATATTTTTTCAAAATTTTATATTTGTTATGGAAGGCGATATATTCTAGAAAATGTTTCGATAGTCACCTTTATGTCTCAGTGGAGACACGACAGGTACCCTTACGAGGGGAGAGTATCAGCCCTTGGCATCGGTAAACCCTCGTTGCAACCGGGGTAGGCGCCTGATGGGTTAGGTATATACAGTGTTTCTCATTTAGGAGAAAATTGTTGGCTGTTCCGTTCATTTTTTGAGTAATATGTCGCGTTTCAGCAACGGAATTTGAAAAGTTTTCATATATTTTCCAGTTTCTCATTCCATGTAACTTTCATGATTTCAATTTTCAACATATTTCAAATTTGAGTTCTGATACCAACTATGTTTTAGATCGAAGAAGCGAAGTGTTATTAATCGACGGAAAAATTGTGCAGAAGACGAAACCAGACCAGAAACCTGCAATCGGTGATGAGTTTTCTATTCGAAATTATTATTAATCAACTCTATTTTAGATCGAAGAAGCAACGTGTTATATATCGAACATTCAATACCTAGAGAAAAAGGGCACATATGGAGAAACCAGGCTAGAAACCAGCGACTGGTGTTTCGTATTTTATTCAATCATTTTCGAATATTTTTTCAAAATTTTATATTTGTTATGGAAGGCGATATATCGTAGAAAATGTTTCGATAGTCACCTTTATGTCTCAATGGAGACACGACAGGTACCCTTACGAGGGGAGAGTATCAACCCTTGGCATCGGTAAACCCTCGTTGCAACCGGGGTAGGCGCCTGATGGGTTAGGTATATACAGTGTTTCTCATTTAGGAGGAAATTGTTGGCTGTTCCGTTCATTTTTCGAGTGATATGTCGCGTTTCAGCAACGGAATTTGAAAAAAGTTTTCATATAGTTTTCAGTTTCTCATTCCATGTAACTTCCATGATTTCAATTCTCAACATATTTTAAATTTGAGATTTACCAACTATATATGTTTTAGATCAAAGAAGAACCGTGCTATGAATCGATCCAAGCCTAATAATGGAAGAATGGCACAGACCATAAACCAGCGACGGGTGATGAATTACCCATTCTTGCATTTTGTAAATTCTGCATTGTTATAATATTACTGAATAATGAAGAGAAGAGAAAAGAGACAAAGAAGAGAGGGAGATGAAATGATTTTTCAAAATTCTGTTTTCCAAAGGCAGATACTTAGATGAATCAAGTTCATGAATCGAGTACATTAGTTGTCGAATTATTGTCATTAAGAGAAACTCTGTTCAGTAGCCTACATTCTAGTAGGGGTGGTGGTGGGACCATCATCTCCCTTTCTTCTAAATCACATTTATGTCTCAATGGAGACTCGACAGGCAACAAAATTTGAAAATAGTTCTCGTATATATTTCAGTCTCATATTCTATTCGATATCTAATATATAGACTATGTTTTAGATCCTGAGATGCAACATGTTATAAATCGGTTATTCAAATCCAACGAAAAAATAGCACGAAAGAAGAAACCAGACCAGAAACCTGCAATCGGTGATGATTTTTCTATTCGAAATTATTAATCAACTCTATTTTAGATCGAAGAAGCAACGTGTTATATATCGAACATTCAAGCCCTAGAGAAAAAGTGCACATATGGAGAAACCAGGCTAGAAACCAGCGACCGGTGTTTCGTATTTTATTCAATCATTTTCGAATATTTTTTCAAAATTTTATATTTGTTATGGAAGGCGATATATCGTTGAAAATTTATCGATAGTCACCTTTATGTCTCAATGGAGACACGACAGGTACCCTTACGAGGGGAGAGTATCAACCCTTGGCATCGGTAAACCCTCGTTGCAACCGGGGTAGGCGCCTGATGGGTTAGGTATATACAGTGTTTCTCATTTAGGAGAAAATTGTTGGCTGTTCCGTTCATTTTTCGAGTAATATGTCGCGTTTCAGCAACGGAATTTGAAAAAAGTTTTCATATATTTTTGAGTTTCTCATTCCATGTAACTTTCATGATTTCAATTTTCAACATATTTCAAATTTGAGTTCTGATACCAACTATGTTTTAGATCGAAGAAGCGAAGTGTTATTGATCGACGGAAAAATTGTGCAGAAGACGAAACCAGACCAGAAACCTGCAATCGGTGATGAGTTTTCTATTCGAAATTATTAATCAACTCTATTTTAGATCGAAGAAGCGTTATATATCGACCATTTAAGCCCTAGAGAAAAAGGGCACATATGGAGAAACCAGGCTAGAAACCAGCGACCGGTGTTTCGTATTTTATTCAATCATTTTCGAATATTTTTTCAAAATTTTATATTTGTTATGGAAGGCGATATATCGTTGAAAATGTTTCGATAGTCACCTTTATGTCTCAGTGGAGACACGACAGGTACCCTTACGAGGGGAGAGTATCAACCCTTGGCATCGGTAAACCCTCGTTGCAACCGGGGTAGGCGCCTGATGGGTTAGGTATATACAGTGTTTCTCATTCAGGAGAAAATTGTTGGCTGTTCCGTTCATTTTTCGAGTGATATGTCGCGTTTCAGCAACGGAATTTGAAAAAAGTTTTCATATAGTTTTCAGTTTCTCATTCCATGTAACTTCCATGATTTCAATTCTCAACATATTTTAAATTTGAGATTTACCAACTATATATGTTTTAGATCAAAGAAGAACCGTGCTATGAATCGATCCAAGCCTAATAATGGAAGAATAGCACAGACCATAAACCAGCGACGGGTGATGAATTACCCATTCTTGCATTTTGTAAATTCTGCATTGTTATAATATTACTGAATAATAAAGAGAAAGAGAAGAGAAAAGAGACAAAGAAGAGAGGGAGGTGAAATGATTTTTCAAAATTCTGTTTTCCAAAGGCAGATACTTAGATGAATCAAGTTCATGAATCGAGTACATTAGTTGTCGAATTATTGTCATTAAGAGAAACTCTGTTCAGTAGCCTACATTTTAGTAGGGGTGGTGGTGGGACCATCATCTCCCTTTCTTCTAAATCACATTTATGTCTCAATGGAGACTCGACAGGCAACAAAATTTGAAAATAGTTCTCGTATATATTTCAGTCTCATATTCTATTCGATATCTAATATATGAACTATGTTTTAGATCCTGAGAAGCAACACGTTATAAATCGATTATTCAAACCCAACGAAAAAATAGCACGAAAGAAGAAACCGACCAGGAACCTGCAATCGGTGATGATTTTTCTATTCGAAATTATTAATCAACTCTATTTTAGATCGAAGAAGCAACGTGTTATATATCGACCATTTAAGCCCTAGAGAAAAAGGGCACATATGGAGAAACCAGGCTAGAAACCAGCGACCGGTGTTTCGTATTTTATTCAATCATTTTCGAATATTTTTTCAAAATTTTATATTTGTTATGGAAGGCGATATATCGTAGAAAATGTTTCGATAGTCACCTTTATGTCTCAATGGAGACACGACAGGTACCCTTACGAGGGGAGAGTATCAACCCTTGGCATCGGTAAACCCTCGTTGCAACCGGGGTAGGCGCCTGATGGGTTAGGTATATACAGTGTTTCTCATTCAGGAGAAAATTGTTGGCTGTTCCGTTCATTTTTCGAGTGATATGTCGCGTTTCAGCAGCGGAATTTGAAAAAAGTTTTCATATATTTTTGAGTTTCTCATTCCATGTAACTCATGATTTCAATTTTCAACATATTTTAAATTTGAGTTCTGATACCAACTATGTTTTAGATCGAAGAAGCGAAGTGTTAATAATCGACGGAAAAATTGTGCAGAAGACGAAACCAGACCAGAAACCTGCAATCGGTGATGATTTTTCTATTCGAAATTATTAATCAACTCTATTTTAGATCGAAGAAGCAACGTGTTATATATCGACCATTTAAGCCCTAGAGAAAAAGGGCAATATGGAGAAACCAGGCTAGAAACCAGCGACCAGTGTTTCGTATTTTTTTCAAAATTTTATATTTGTTATGGAAGGCGATATATCGTAGAAAATGTTTCGATAGTCACCTTTATGTCTCAATGGAGACTCGACAGGCAACAAAATTTGAAAATAGTTCTCGTATATATTTCAGTCTCATATTCTATTAGATATCTAATATATGAACTATGTTTTAGATCCTGAGAAGCAACATGTTAAAAATCGGTTATTCAAACCCAACGAAAAAATAGCACGAAAGAAGAAACCAGACCAGAAACCAGCGATCGGTGGTGAGTTTCCCATTCCTATCTTCCATTACATTCAATTCGTTTCGAATATTTCTTTAAAATATCTTTTGATGGCGATAGTGATAGTGGAATTCATCACAATTTCATTTTTTATGTGTATTCACGTAACGATATATTATAAACAGAAATGTTTCTTGGTGTAATAATGAAGTCAAACAATCAATCAATCAATATTTTTCATGTCTCAATGGAACGGTACCCACATTTCAGCAACAGAATTTGTAAGTAGATTTCAAATATATTTCAGTTTCTTTATCCATTTATCTTATAAAATTTTGATTTTCAATTTCTCAGAAGTTCAAGATTTGCTACCAACTTGTTGTAGAAGAAGAAGAAGCACCCTGTTTTAATGAGTACAGAAACAAGAGACCGGTGATGAAATTTCCCATTCCCTGTTAAGAATTATATTCAATTTATTTCGAATTTTCATTGGATTCCTATTTGAATTGAGAAAATAAGCCTCTGGAAATTGGAAATAAAAGTATCTACTGGGAGACACATAATTTAATCATAATTATTTTGGAATGGAAGTATTATTTGAATCATCAGTATCAAGTTGTCAATTTTGTAAACAATACATTCACATTTATTTTTACAAATGTCCAAAATCGCTAATAGTGAAAAGCGAGACTATAAAAAAATAAACTCTAATTGATGAAATTTTCAAAAACCGTGCTGGAACTGTTTTGACTCCAGCCTAGTCTGGATTATTTCTAATTGCCTCTTTGCCTCGCACTGTGGAAAATTGTTCAAATCATAATACTGGGGCGCAATTTTCAGTAACCAATCAGCTGAAAAAAAAAACAAATACAGATTTCACTATAGCACCAATCTTCATCTATATTTCTAACACACCAAACAGAAAATTTAGAATTCGTCCTTTATACGACATCCTATGGAGTCTATGGCATATTTTCGTCAACAAACTATTCTGATGGATTTTTCGTTGAATATTTTGCATCAAATGAAAAAAAAAATTCTTAGTTTTTTTCTCTCTTAGTGAGATTTTTTACAACAATAGTACTTTTCTTGCTTATATGAATATGAGTATATGACTAGGAAAAACTTCATCTTTCATTTGCAAATTGAGAAAAAAATTGAAATTGTCGAAAGATTGATCAAGACTCATTGCATCCCACTTTACTGAAACTGATTTTTCATGGGAAAAAAATAAGTTTGAGGTCTCATCTCTCAAAAATAGACACATTGAGGTCTGAAATTGAAAACAGGATGTAAAAAAATGGCCGACCTCTTGAGTGGTCCGTTTAGTGTGTTTTTTCTAATAACTGCACTTACGTTTGATATCTGTAACAGTCCTAATGTAATTTTTCGTCGTCAGCACAAATTCATTGTATATCACCCATTCCGGCTTGTGGTCCAGACAAGTGGAAGGATGAAGTTGTACTATTTGGTTGTCTTTGATAGTTAGATAATGTCCGGTTCTTTCTAAATGGGCGACCTTGAAACAAAAACAGACATTCAAGATACGAGCCATTTTTCCTCGAAGTTAACCACACAAACCCGGTCAACAATAAGTTGACCAGTCCATTTTCCTTGAAGTGTATTCCAAACTATGACGTAATAGTTAACCAACATTACCACTTTCTCTTACCGCGTTTTGCTGATCGAGGAAACCTTCCTCTACATTTTTTTATGTTCTGTTTCCTACGAAAAGGAATATGCTGTAATGTTCAGAGAACATCGTGAGAACCAAGGAAGATAGGGTAGGAATTGCTGTTCTTCTTAAATTTCTGCAGGTTATATGTCGCTGTTCGTTGGATGAACGAGTCTTTGGAAAGAGATGTTCTGCAGGTCTCCAAAGTGACCACGAAGGGGTGCGAAGCCTCAACTCGACGGGTTAATCTCGCGGGGACTGCCAAGGGAGGAACAATTGTTGATATTTCAGAAGAGCATCGCGTCCATGGAAATATCTATAAAATAGAGCCAGATCTCCAACTTTTCTACAGTGTCCCAGAGAAATGAGTGAGTTTGTGAGCGAGGCACCACCCACCAGACGAATTGCCCTTTTTTGGACAGAATCCAACAGTTTCAGGGTATGTTTGGGTTCTGTAGTCCAAATATGGGAACAGTATTCCAGGACAGGTCGGATCTGTGCCTTATAGACCATAAGCAGCTGACTGGAAGTGAAATAGCTCCTGGCCCGAAACAGAAAACCAAGTTTTTGGGATGCACCTTTAGCAATTGATCTCACGTGATTTTCCCAAGAAAGGTTATTGCTGATAGTAATACCAAGCATCGAAATGGATGTCTTCAAAGGTATGGTTACTCCTGACAAGCTTATGTTGGGCACAGTGAGATCGGTTTTTTTCTAGAGAAGAGGCATGCTCGTGTTTTGTTTGCATTGAAATCTACCAAGTTATTGGATCCTCATTCGAGAATTGTTGCCAAGTCCATATTTATGTTGTCAACATTTCTTCCTCGTTCGTTTCTGATTTGCCTGGCTGGTATTGGAGCCCTGGAAGAAAAGGCGGTATGGAGGGTACTATCATCCGCGAAGCTGTTTACTGGACATGAAGTTGCTTCCAACAAATCGTTGATATGGAGTAGAAATAGTGTTGGTGCTATAATTGATCCTTGCGGAACACCAGCATTTATAATAAGAGAGTCAGATGAAACTACGTAGAGAAAACTAGCAAGCAGAGAACATAACTGGGGAGGCAAGCCATAAGATGGAAGCTTGGCGAGGAGCCCGTGGTGCCAGACTCCAACGAATGCCTTGGAGATATCAATTCTATCAACCTTGTCTTTCCCTAATTTCAACGTCATCGCCACGTCAGTTAATGCCCTTGAAACCCACGACTTGGCGAATTTCAAGATCATAATCTGACAGTGCGATGTCGTTTAGCAATTTCATCTGATGACCTTGAAATCCGCCAATAATGAAAAGTTTATGTTGGTGACACAAAGAATGAGGAGAAATTGAGAGTAAGACCATTTTAACTTTTTTCTCAAGTTATCGACGTCCTTTTCTTCTTATTTTTTGTGAACCCTGAAAACAAGTTAGAAGAGGAAGACAAATGCATAATGGAGATGTTTATGCACAACAGTTTTAGACTTATTAATTTTGAATGTATTTTGCATCATGGATTCAACTAGCTTTACACTAATCTTTGTACTAACTCTAGTAAGACTCACTATACAGGGCGGTTCAGGTTTTGAGGTACAAACTGAAATGGGTGATAGATCGATCTCATCATTTCAATTAAAAAAGTTGATATTAACATGAGTCCGATCTCGGTCAGTAGCCGATCTACAGGGGGTCAAAGTTCAATAAACTTTTTCTATTAATTATGATGATGTTTTCAACATGTATGTGTTCTTATGTTATGTCATGGAGATGAAAATGTTTTTTAGTTCAGTTGTTATTAATAAAATAAATAATTAACGCAGAAATTTTCAAATTCATATTCTCACCGAGTTTTGCAAGAAGTTACAACAGGTTATGGGCCCAGTACGCTTCCATGCTGGGCCCATAACCTGTTGTAACTTCTTGCAAAACTCGTTAAAAGCAACAAAAAAAATTGCTGTTTGTTTCAAAAATTCGAAATAAAAACATGAAACATTTTTTGTTTGATAGAAATGAGGACGTTCGCCCTAAAATTCGAATGATCACCTGCATGAAGAATCCATTGACCAGAGCCTTCCGTATGTTCAGATAGTAATCTTTGCTGGTGAAATCGGTCGAGGTCCTTTTCAAATTGAACCTGTCCATGATCCTGCTCAACTGCTGTCTGACGTTGTCCGCCGACTTCAGCGATCTATAGTTGACGAAGTTGTCGTAACACCATTGGGGGTCCTCCATACCTGCAGAGGCGGCAAAATATTCGTAGAAACTAACCCGGATTCCCAGCAGAAAAATATACCATGACGAGAATTGTTTTGAAATCTCGCGGTATATAGTTTTTTGATATTTTCGTTACGAAATTCGTATCAAAAGGAATCTTTGAAATATCCATTGCATGATAAGTGTAAAATTACTAAAAAAATCGATTAACTAGAAAAAAATTGTGATATTTTATATAAAAAAAAGAAATTTTTTTCAGAACTACGGGTTCATTTATGATAGGAGATTATAAGGAAAGAGTACAGACTTAAATAATATTCATTTATTTTCCTAAGGGAGCTACGCCCCTTTGCATAGGACACCTTAAGGACGATTTTTTCTCTATATCTTTCAGACCCTTTGAAATTTAATTTTGAAAATTGGTGTACAGTGAAAACATTCGATGGTGAATAAGGTTTTAAATTCATAATTACTTAATAAAATGTTAGTAGGAAAGATTGTTCTTTTTTCTATGGTAATGCAGACTAACTTTCAACAATTGAGCATTTCACGAATTGTTAAAATTCTGTCACGTTCAGTGCTGTCACTTCAAAAAATGTCAGGTTAAATTCGAATCAAATTCAAATTTTTTGTTGAAATTTGGACAAAGAAAAAGCAGGAAAGCCCGGATAAAAATGTGTGATCAACGGATGAGAAAATACTTCTGAAATAAGCAAAAAACTTCATTATGAGTTTCCAAGAGACATTCATTCTTCAGAGTTCCAACGTAAAATAATTTAAAATGGAGAAGAAGCTCATATTAACCTCAATTAAAAAAGGTTAGAATGGTCTTCTCCATTTCTTCTTATTTCCAGTGTTGCCATCTTGTTTTCTCCATTCAGTTCTATGCATCCTATTTCACTTCATCACTGCTCGTTGGACACAAAACATACAACATAATCTTGGATATTAACTATTAGAATCCGTCTTTTCGGACTCGTAAGTCTCAGATTAATTGAATGATAAAATCAAAATATCAAATATCTAAACCAAACATCAGGTGGGCACTTCGAAGACGCAAATTCATTACTGCAAGGAAGATACCCTTCAGATTCTCAATCGCAGATTCGTGATTAGGTTTTCTCAATTCAGAATTTCTTTCCACGGCCTGTATGATGAATATCAATTTATCATACATCCAAAAAAAGAAGTTAACTTTTAGCCTCTAACAGGGTTCCTTGCAATGACCCGCGAAAACGTTGCCAGTAAACAGTAAAATCGGAAACATAAAATATACTGGATAGTTCTATTAGGGAATATCGGAACATGCTCTCAATCTAGTCACTCTAGGAAAGACATTATTTTTCTCTCTCAACGCCAGCTGAACTGCTCTATTTCAGTGAAAGTTTATGTTTGTTATGTCAAAAATCAAAATACGCTATAGCAAAATGACAGATGAGTGCAATAAACATTTTATTGCACTAGCAAATAGTGCGATAAAGAACCACTTTTTCTACAAAAAATGGTTCAATAAGGGTTTGTTTTCCTGCATGAACATAGAAAAACGAACAAATACATAACCAAAAAAAGAAAAACGAATAAATAAAAATCATCCTTACTTTGCTTGAAGGCGTGGTAGACGTTGAGCAGGGTCAAATGGTCGCCGTCGATGTGGGCGAAGCGCATCTTGGCATCGTCGGCGGCCTTCTTCGCCTCGTTGGGCCTGACGAAACACTGCGGGACTAAACGTTGGAGCGGGGCGAACGCCCGTATCCAAACGATATAGAGACACGAGCTCAAGCGGGGGGCTGCCTACAGAGCTATTCAGTCAGAACCGACGAGCACAACGAAACGCAACAAAACACATCCACCCTTATCCATCCCATTGGCATCATCATCATTTTATCATATTTTTTTTGTACGACCTTGCTAGTTTGGTGAGAATAAGTTGTGTTTTCATAAATCACGGATCAAAAAATTGTTTTTTTCTGTGACGGGAAAAAGTTTGGCATTTCATCTCTGCTGGCAGGTTATAAAATGTCACTTTTATGGCTTTTGTTGTGCTATAGTTCCGAAAAATGAGTCAATAATACCGTCTCCGAGAAAGAACTGCAAGTCCTTTTATCTTCCATTCAACTTCACGGTTACGTATATTACTGAACAACCACTAAATTCGCAATTTTTTGTAATCAAATCACAGAATTAGACTGACATAAGTGACATCAGATATTTGATTACTTCAAGAGAATGATAAAGATGCCTACAACGTTATAGGTGTCCCTATTGTTAAAAAACTTTCACGTCGATAATTTTCAGATTTCAAAATAATGTAATATCGTCTCGATATTGATTCGTCCTTTCTTCTGTCATAGAAAAAAAAAATAGTGTATTATACACGGGGAAAATATTAGATTTTAGCTCACGGTTTTTTGTTTCCCTTCGCTACGCGTCGGGAGACAACACAACCTGGAGCTAAAATCTAATACTTTCTTCCCTTGTATAATAAATAACTATTTTGTTGCCCGAATTTCAATAGTAGATATTAGGATCGAAAGTGACACTTTGTTTGACAAGCGAATTTTGCATTTGCGAGGCCGAGCGAAAGCAAAATTTGCGAGTCAATCAAAGTCACTTTCGATCCGAATGAAACATGCCATTTTTTCTGCAACCGAAAAAAATTAACCAAAATAAATACAGAGATGTGCACAAAAAACGGCCAGGATTGTAACTTCTGAATTATTCGAGATAGGGTTTTGAAAATTGGTGGGCAGCTAGTATACCAAATTGCTCATTAATTGATGAAACAATTTTTGTTCGATCACTTCCGATTTCACCGGAAACGACCCCAACTTTTCATTTGCAAATGGGACCCTGTATTGTATTCGATAGGGATTATCATGACGAATTCAACGATACCGGGTTTGATAGGGTTATTTCAAACGCTTACGAAGATATTCGTAATTTATAATTTGATTTAGTTGATTTGAATAATTTTATTCAAATTGTCGCAGCCCTGTCATGAAATCTTGTAAACTGATAGAAAAGTTGACATAAATTAGGTTGTTCAAACTCAAAATTAGTAGGAAGTGTGAAAAAAATGTAGATTTCAATTAGAAACAATAAAGTCGATTCCGACTTGTGGCGCACCTTGTATATCTAGAGAACTAAAACTATTTCAGGTAAATTGGAAATGATCAATATCCAACTGCAAATTGGAAAACTCCTAATGTGTGGCCTACGTAAATCACCCTGTATATCGGTCGTACAAAAAATAGATGGAGACTTCAAAGCACTCAGCCTCCAAACATTGTCTTCAATCATTTCAATCAGTAAATGGTCGTTTATATTTTGTTGTGTTTTGTTGTGCACATGTTCTAAAGACATTCTTTTTCTTTTGAGATAGCTCCAGATCAAAGTTTCTTGAAATTTATCATGTTCAAAATAATTGTCTGAACCATACTGATAATAAGGGCAAGGCACATAATTACAGTCAATTTCGGGGTTTTTGTGAAAATTATTGAACACAAAAATAGAAGAATAAATAAATCCAACATTTGCCATTTTGGCAGGTGACATAACTTTTCTCAACATAACAATACCATATTATCATAGTATTCAATTAAATTTGGTACAGGCCCATATTGAGAGGTAGTGCATCCAGCATGTACACAGTTTCCACTATTTAGAATTTTACTTCAGAAAATTGATGTAGAAAATCATGGATTTTGTAGGATAAAACAGTTTATCAGTTTATTTGAACACCCTATATCTCTGTAATCATTTCCGATAGAACCCAAGTGTGATGTATGGATATATATAATCAGCTCTTCAGGAAGAATTTAAAACTGCAGTAAAATACAGGGTATTCCATTTGAAATAACAAAGTTGTTGCTACTTTTTGATAGAAGCGGCAACACTGCATTGCTGAAAATATTTTAAATGAAGAGAGCGTATTCTAAAATATAAGAATGCATATTTTCATGGAGTTCCCCCGACTGATTCTCGATATAGAGAAAGTGTAAGCTCGTCCTGACATACCCTGTATATCGAATGATATATTTATATCGGCGAACCCTGCGCTCATCTTTGTGTTTTTCCGCGTTTTTCATGAATTAAATCTGTTTCAATAAATATTTAGAAAACGTACCAAGCCCAGAGACTTCAACATGAGGAAATACAATGGGGAAGTTTCCTTCAGCTGAATTTTTATAAAATAAGTTCGGAACTCTCCAGTTTTATGTCCACGCTGTACAGAATGGCGACCGATAAAGTCCAAGTCGATTTCATTTTCAAATTAAAGCAATTGAAAAACGATCGAAAAAAATAGAAGAAGCAAAACTGGTTAACAAAATCAAACATAACCATAAATGCACTCGGAGCAGGAATGCAGAGGGTAGTCGGCTTCATTCTGACAGGTTATGGTTTTGTTATTTATGCATTGAAATATCTCCAATAGAGCTCGATTCTAAATGAAAATATCATTGAATCAATGAATCACTATCGGCTACATTCAATGATACTATCCTTCCTAATTTACTGCCATCGGTCAGAACAGAATGAAGCCGACACCTATGGCTCCTTCCTGTTGTTGTGCATGTCAGTATTTTGACTGGTGTGGATGGACTCAAAGTATCAGGCGCTGTTGCAAGATATAATCTCCAACTTTCTTATAAAATAGATCCGTTTTATTTAGGAACGAATTCATTAGCAAAAAAATGACTGACAAGTTATGTATAAAATATAGTATGTAATATAACGATAGTGAAAAATTATAGATATTATCGCAAAATATAATAAGTTATCTTTATTAGAAATCAAATTCATTCAGCCAATGAGAGCTCATAACACTTGACAAAGTAGGATTGAAGAACCTATTATATCTCATTGCTGTTAATGTGATATAGTTATTATGCATTCAAAGAACAATTTCCGGAAATCTAGACATATTGATGATGTCGGCAACTTCCTTCCGGAACAGGGAATCGTATATCAACTATGTGTGAATGTGTATTTTCAGAAGGTACGTCGAAGAAATGGTGGAGGAGCCAAGTTCCACTTTTATTTATTTTTTTCCAAAGTGAAATTTGATCTTACGAAAAAAAAAAAAAAGAAAAATACGTATACAGGGTGTCAGGAAATTAGGCGCAAAAAATCAAGGGGGTGATTCTACATGATAAAATAAGAATTTCATTTCATATGTACGTGGGTCCGGAAATGCATAGTTTTCAACATACAGTGTGTAAAAACTTTTAAAAAAGTTCGTTTTTTATGAATATCTCAAATGTTCTTCCACCGATTTTCTTGAATTTGTAACGAAAAATTGAATTTGTCGTTACATTTCTACTAATCACATCTCTGTATTCTGTGCCTCTAGTCCGATAGCGCGTTTCATGTAGTGCAGTACCCACAAATATCCTTCACTCTCGCCAATAGTTCTGTGACACCGTAAGTATCATCTCCAATTTCAAGATTGCTAACGTTTGCCAGGCGAATGACTCCCACCGCTTGAAATATCCGCAAGTTCCATGAGTTTGATTTATGTTCCGTGGTCAATCTATCATCTTGGTTTCGTGTTCTGTGTCAAAACATAATTTATTTGCTGGGTTGGTAAACGGAGGATTGTCCATCTCACTTCATCAGATAGAGTATGATATTTGGAAAAAGTAAACATCAAATTTATAAAAAAAACCTTTTTTTTGGAATCGATATGATGGAGAATTGAAGATTTTAGCTCTCTCTTGATTTGGCTCTCGACTGGAAGAGTTGACTTGAAGGTTTTGTGACTTGAGACAGGTAAAACCATTCCCTTTTGCACTTTCTTAATTTTCAATCATTGTCTGAATACTAGCTGTTAATTGTTTGCAGTTTCTCGTATAGTAGCAAATTTGGTAGTTATTTTTTTCTTTTCCTGCTATTTTTGGAGAAATTGAATATTTTCCAGATCAGGCATGGTCACACATGTCTGACTTATGATTTGAGTAAAGATCATTGAGTTCACAGAATGTTCCTTGCACATAACTTTTTGAATTAAATATCATTCCTGCCTGGCTTTCACTCAACATTAAATTTATTAGTTGCACGTGCTTTTCATTTATATGGTGATAGAGGTTTCTGGGACTGAATAAAACCATTTTTTTCTGATATCATTGCAATTTTTTTTTGAGACAGCTACTGTGCCATAGATTTGTTCTGTCGTTGTGATCATTTTTCAGTGCTATCCACGTGCTCTCTGAGGTACTATCCACGTGCTATCTGAAGTACTACACACGTGTTATTTGAAGTGTTATCAGACAGAAGGGATTATAATCCAAGGAGAGATTCTGGAAAATTTGAACCCAAGGAGTGTGTAACCAGGAAAGGACCTATTGAAGTACTACGCTGAGTGTAAGGTGAGTGGATTTTCAATTTAATAAGCAATCATTAGTAGATCAAACAATTTCACGGATCATATCCATAAGTGAGACTCCACTCTCCTACACGACAGACGTAGTTGTCCGTCCTGTTGGCATAACTTGCACTTTTCACTGATTTCATATACTAGGGTTCATATAGTTTTCTTGGTGAAGTATTCACAGAGTTCATATAATTGGGGCATTCACATACATTTATTATAGTTCTTCTCTTGTCCTGGTAAATTATTTAAAGTTGGTATAATATCTTTGATTAAGTTGTATTCACATTCTTCAGTATAGCATATTTCATAGAGTTTTTTTGGTGAATTATTCACATTTTTTTGATATTGTCAGGAAACTGTCCTTTGCAGGCCTGAGTCGGTGTTTTGGTAGTGAGCATCAGCCTCTAGAGTTTCAAGTTCAGTTACTGCCTATTTGTAGGTTATGGTACCGGCTAATTGCCACATTTGAAGGGCTTGAAATTCATTCCGGTGGTGTTTTCTGCTAGAACCCTGATTCACTACTGTACTTGGTGGTTCCTCTGTGTTATTACATTTCGAGACACTGCAAGATAAAGTTAACAGCTATGTAATGGTCACCTGTCTCAAAGTGCAAACCCTTTAACCGATTTTCTTGAGCTATCCTTGAGAAATATTTCTTTATCTTTTCAGTATAATTTTCATATGAAATAATACCAGAAATTGTCTTGAGATCAGTTATTTTCTTGTGGAATATTTTATGTGAATTTTTCTCAATAGTTATCAATTTTCTTGATATAATTTCCTCATTTTTCTAGAAGTGCCTCGTTATCTGGAATTATTTTCAAATTTACTATCAATTATTTGATGTTATTTTCCTCACTTTTGAAGAAGTACTTCACTCTTTCGAATAGAATCTTCACATATTGAGTGATATCAATTTTATCCAATTGATTTAAGACAATTTTTGCTATTTCATGGAAAGTTTCCTTTGAACATTATTTGTTTAAGTAACAGATATACTTAATTAGTACCATTTCAGTCCATGGTCATAATTTGTACCTAATCAGTAATTTTGTATCATCAGTAATTTTTACTATTATCAGTCATTTTCTTTCAATTGGAAAAAAATATTGAGAGTACAATTTTTCCTACCACAGCAATTTCAATCACTTAATAAATTTCAATAAGTCAAACTATTTTTTTTATTCTCAGTTAAAATTTGTAAAAATCGTAGGATATAATTCATAGAATCGATTCTATAAATTTATTTTCTTGTAGATTATATATTTCCTTATATACATTATCATTTCATATTATATAAAGTTCATATAAAATTTCTAATTATTGGATCCATAGTTAGTTGTATCACTTTGGATTATTTCTTCCATTCCTGCATCCTTCCTCTGAATCTTGCTCATACTGCTTCACGTTTATTTCATGACACACCTTGTGAGACACAACCACAATTGAAGAAGACCAACGACCTGTGTGCAGCTCAATCACCAGCTCACGGTTTTGGGAAGAGAAACCTGATGTCAATATTCTAAAGGTAGCCTGAAAAGCCAGTCCTAGAGCCTTACCAACGGTGCCAGTTAGATCATCAACCTAGCAGTTATATTTGCTGGTATATCTTTGAAGGAAGCCTGTTCTACCAGTCTTGAGACAGGAGTGAATCCGTGTGGAAGCTACCAGGTATTCTCTGACCACTATCCAGAGTAATTTCAAGGTGTCAAACTGAACAGCAGTATATCTTTTCAATCCTATTCAGCCTTCCTATTTTCTTATTAGCTTTTTGTAAAATTTTTGAATTGTTTAAATTTCTTGATTAATTACTAAATTGTTTGAACTAACTTTTCTAACTCCGGTTGAAAAATTGTAGTCGAAATTACCGATTGTAGCTGAACTAACATACTGATTAAATTGTTACTCTTGTTGTTGAAAAGTTGTATATTATTGCTTCCCCACATTTGCAACATATAAATTTGAAATAGTTTTTAAAGTGTCACAACCTTAAGGATTATTTCTGGCGCCCTCCCTAGTGAAAGTAAGACTGACAATCATTGTACATCAAGACCTCTCCTAAACAACTTAATTACAAATTTGCTAGTTGTTATAAGGATTCTTCCCTTACCCATCCCTAATTATTTCTCATGCTCAAGTGTTTTGTTATAAATTTTGGCAATGATATTTCTTGTTCAATCGGAATTATGAAAGTCAGTGGCGTCCCAGGGGGCAACCTAGCGAATATTATTGTCAATAAAATGTGCGCCACTGATTTTTTTGAATTATTTATCTTCATAACCTATTGACCAACTGAAAATACAACTTTTTGGTCTCTTGAATTGTTCTGAAAATTTGCTTCATTTCCATGGAAAAAAATAAATACCAATTTATTGCATGAATTTGTGCCAAAAAATTCCTTTAAAAACTGGGGTGAAAATAAATACGTGATCAATGTCCATAGAAATAGAATAAGTATGAAGATTCATTCTCTTCAAATATTTCTTGATACATGTTTGACACACTCTACACTCTGTATATAGAGAACTATGTATTCTCGCTCCAGGGAGGCGCAGTTTTCAATAATACAAAGTGTGTCAAACATGAATATGAAATATCTGAAGAAAATGAATCTTCATCATTATTCTACGTCTATGGACATGGATCACACATTTAATTTCACCCCTGTTTTTGAAGCTTTGTTTTGCACAAATTTATACAATGAATTGCTATTTATTTTTCTCCACGGAAACGGAGCAAAATTGCAAAACAATTCAAGAGACCAAAATGTTGTATTCTCAGTTAATCATTAGGATATGACGATGTAGAATTTGAAAAAATCAGTGGCGCACATTTTATTGACAATAATATTCGGTAGGGTGCCCCCGGGACGCCACTGGATTTCACAATTCCAATTTAATTATGGCTAAATCAGCTCCTCATGACAAAGAATTTAAAGAGAATCGGTGAAAGGATATTTGAGATATTCATAAATAACCGATTTTTTCTAAAAAAAATTTCTAGACCCGAGTATATATGAAATAAATCTCATGTTTTCTCATGCAGAATCACTTCCTTGATTTTTTGCGCATAATTTCCGGACACCCTGTACATCAATTTTCGACAAACTTCACAGTGAGATAAGAACCTCAAGATAGAAAACTTCCCCATTCATCATCACCGACACACGCCCCTCTTTGTCAATTGGAATAAATACCTGACAGCATAGCAGTCACCGACAGTATCTCGTTGGAGCAATTGTGATTGCAGCTGGCTATCAGCATCTTGGCCAGCTGCGGGTCGAGCGGAAACTCCGCCATGACCGCGCCCAGATCCGTCAGATTTCCATCGTCATCCAAGGCGGCTAAATAATTGAGGAGCTCGAGCGCCCGCATCAGGGTCTCAGGGGCAGGCGGATCCATGAAATCGAAATGGACGAGATCGTCGATGCCGAGTTTTTTCAGCTGAAGCACCACCGAACCCAAATTGGATCTAATTTCGAGCGAAAAAACTAGGTCAATTTCGGTGGTCTTCATCTTTCTTTCATCCATTTATTTCAGTTATAATAATAATGATAAATGTTTTTATTGGACAGACATTGTATCAGCTGATATATACAAGTTGAACACTTAATAAATGCCAAATGGCAGAGTTCAAATCGCATGTGAAGACAGGAATTTGCTCTTCCACTCAACCAGTAAAAACTCATTCATATGCATTCAAGTCAATTGAAAGAGTTCAAATATATATTTATAAATAGCTAACTACTAGAATCTAATAATAATTTTATGATACATGCATAATAATCTAAAACATCATTATGTTTATAACAGAAGGAATAAAGATGAAAAAGCAGAAAAAAAAGAGAGAAGATATATACATATTTATGAACTATGGTATTAGAGATATTGTAATAGATCAGTTGTGAACAGATATGGACAGAGAACTATATCAACGAAACGAAATTCTCCCTGATATCAAACAATTTTTCAGCCTCTGTTTAAGGACAAAAACATATACACTTTTCAACTCCTTTGGAAGCCAGTTGTATAGCCTAGTCAAATGAAAACTGAAAGATCCGTCATAGAAAGTTGCCTTGTGCTGTGGAGGAGTGATGCGCGATTTGTGTCTAATATTGAGGTTGTGAACATCCGTTCTGAATCTGATTTTATTGTATAAATATGGTGGACTTCTCGAAATTATAATTTTGTGGAAAAGAATGCAAGCATGCACTAAGCGTCTTTCTTCCATATTCAACCAACCCAGACTTCTTAAATGTGGAGATGTAGGTGTTTATACAGGGTGTTTCGAAATTCGACCGACAACGCTTGACAGGTGATAACCTTCGTGATTTCATAATCTCTGAGATAGGGACATATGGTCTTGAAGTGTTCAGTTCTCGAGATATAGGGCGTTGAAGTTGAGAAATTAAAATAGTTTTTTCTCGATATCTCATGAAAAATTGAATATAATGCATTCAAATTCGGTATATGGTTTGATCTTCCAATGGTTAATTTTTTGACCAGAAAGACATTCCGAGAATTTTATCCAGAGGTGCGCTACAGAGGGTTGTGATAACTTTTCCGCACATATTTTCTACGCCACTGATGAAATTTCAATTATTTCTAATTTCTCGAATTGATTGTTCAATTATGTTGAAAAAGTGCATCACCTTCAACTAAGCTAAAATGAACAGTTATCGAGATATTTGACCCAAAATAGAAGTTTGCATAGTAATTTTTCATCTTCCTCAGTATTAGAAAATTACGAACATTTTTGTTCTCTCTTTATGCGTGGAATAACTATTTCTGTTCAGCTATAGCATGAGATCTGAATAGTATCTAATCTACTCAACACCAGAAAAATATTTTTGCAATTTTCTACTACTGAAAATGATGAAATATTACTATGCAATCTTCTATTTTGGGTCGAATATCTCGAAAACTGTTTATTTCAGCTCAGTTGAAGGTGATGCATTTTCTGAACAAAATTGAACAATGAATTCGAGGAATTGGAAATAATCGAAATTTAATCAGTGGCGTAGAAAATATGGAAGGAAAAAATGCCACAACCCCCTGTTGGGCACCACTGGACAAAATGTTCGGAATGGCTTCCAGGTCAAAATATGACCCATTCAAAGTTGAAACCATATACCGAAGTTGAATGCATTATATTCAATTATTCTTGAGATATTGCGAAACAACTATTTTCATTTCTCAACTTCAACGCCCTGTATCTCGAGAACTGAACACTTGAAGACCGAATGTTCCTATCTCAATGATTATGAAATCACGAGGGCTATCACCTGTCAAACGTTGTCGGTCGAATTTCGAAACACCCTGTATTTCTTTTTGATATTACATTTTGATACAGATACATAATATACAGGGTGTTCCAAAACTCAACGCCATCCTTTGAAGGGCTATTAGTCCAGCTCAGGACTGACCAGAGTATCTGAAATACTTGTTGCTAGTTTTGGAGATATCGGCACTCTTATGAATTTCGCGAATGAAATCACGAATGGTGGGGATAGTGATGGGTGATACCCGGGCATTTATCACTAAGGGTAAATACCCAGGAGCTGGGTATTTATGAGGATATTTTGTATTACATGGAATTGCTGTTTATTACACTATTTTTGCAAGTTTGATGTCTTAAAACAGGTTTTTAAATTTGACAACCTTCTGAGCAACCAACAACTCTGACAAAACAATGTTTAGATTGAACAACTCTCCATGAACTCATCAAAAACGACCAGTGGTCTGGTATCTGGTAATACAGAAATGACACTCTGGACAAAAAACTACAATAAACAAAATCGATATTTAAAAAAAACTACCCACTTATAAAACCATGTTTTTGCATTTTCTTGACATTTGGTTTTACAGTACTTACATTGAACACCTTTTTTCTCTATAGTAAATCAACACCAAGCTGGATCTTCCTTTTTTATCATTTTATTCAGATTTGTGGCAAAGTACAGAAGTGAAACTGTGGAAGTGAGGTTATATTATTGTTTCTCTTCTTCTCCTGCTTCTTTTTCTATTATCTGGCGCGATGTCCAACATTTTACTATGTTTACACGGCGGTTTTGTGTCGTCGACAATATCAAATCGTTTTTTATAAATATCCACTTTTGGGTGGGTATTTATCATCAGGGTAAATACCCGGATAAATGCCCAATTTATGACAACCCAGCTACTGGGTAAATACCCACCGCCCATCACTAAGTGGGGATTCCGCCATGATCAAAAAGTACACGCTAACAATCTTAAACGCTAAACATGTTTGAATGAATGAAATCACGAATGGTGGGGATTCCGCCATGACCGCGCCCAGATCCATCAGATTACCATCGTCATAGGGAGAGTGTGAGGCGTATGGAAGGATGAGATTCGAAATCTTTGGAGTAGATAAACTACAACAGGAAGACTTGGTCGAATTAGAGTGGACGGACATCCTGACCTTCATCAGAAGGACGGGAAGGTTCGAAAAGGACAACTAAAAGAGGGATGTGTAGATATGTGGAGAGCAGGGGTTGGCAAAAAGGGCCCATGGGGGCCTACTTGCCTGGCTACAGCCTCCCCACAATACTACTACTACTACCATCGTCATCGAGAGCGGTCATATAATTGAGGAGTTCCAAGTTAAGTGTTTTTTCTATTTTTGCATGAACAGGTCATCAAACGAATGTCGGGCAGCGCTGCCGCACTCTTTGAACATTCAAAGGGACCGACGGCTTGCGGTGATGTGTTTGCATAAACTATACCATGAAAATTCAGCATTCCACAATCCCCTCACCTGAGAATTTCCGGGTACGTGTTATCCTGCATCTCGTTTTTGAACGCCTTCTCCGTGTACAACCGGAAACACTTGCCCGGTTTCGTTCTGCCAGCTCGGCCGGCCCTCTGTTGGGCCGAAGCCTTACTAATCGGCGACACCAACAGCGATTCCACCCTTATCCTCGGGTTGTACACTTTCTGTTTCGCGAATCCTAGAAATATTTCGGTCGATCATATTATAACCAACGAAAAAATTCATTGAAGTAACGAAATTCGCAAGTTTTGCTATTGAAATGTGCAATCTAGACACAAATGTGCAATCTTTGCAGATCCTAGTGTGCACATTATAACAGAGAACATTCACAAATCGCATATTATAATATTATAGTGTGCAATTTTTACATATTATGATCATTATTGCAGATTATTATGAAACATATCTGTAGGTTACAGACGAGTCTGAACGAAAATCAATTTGACATTGACACTTCTGTCACATTGAATTTGTTTATTGTGTAATTGCATTTCGATTAAGTAAGTTTTTAGCATTGACAAATGCCAGAATCGGTAAATTCAGAGGAATTGACTCAGTCATGTGTTTCTAATAATTTGTAGAAAAGGCCTTCCAAAACTGATGAATAAAATCATTAATTTATTTCATCACAGTATGACATTAACTTATTTATTAGTCCCCTCGTATCATCAGAAGTCTTGATCTTTCACAGTACTTGGAATTTCCACAATTATTAGAAATCTTCCAACCTGTTGATACCACTTTCAGCAATCTTCGAATAGATGGCAATACCCATTCCTATTTTCGATTTATAATTTAATTTTCAATCAGCGGTAACACCGTACCAGTTTTTGTATGTTTTTTTATTTCTCGAAAAGTTGTTGGTTCGATTAAAAGAGCATTGTGATTTTTGGCTCGTTGTCACCTACCGATGACATTCTCAGTATGCGAATTGTCAAGTGATTTTTCATATTTTGTCTTTGGAAATATCCAAATCATGAAAATCATCTTCTGATATCATGTCATTCGGTAAAAGCAAATCCATTTATCATTTCTATTGGTGAAAATTTCTCAAATTTCGGAAAGCCGACATACTGGTGAGTCTTCATAATTTTTTTTCATCAGTTGTTGTCAACTATTTTCACTTTATTTAAGGTCCTATGATTTCCAATACCGAAATATCAATTTGGTTCACTGATCGTTCTTTCTATTTTTGGTTTGTAATTTGGCGAAACTATTATTGTGGGGGTAAGTGATTTATCAATGTGTATGTACTAACAAATTTTTCATGGAATGAATTATTGTAGAAAACCGGCAGTTTCCATGTCGGAAATAAGAAGTATACAGGCTGATTCACGGTGGATGGCACATTAGACGTTTCTGGTGAACCAGACAACGGATCATTATGAAAATTTAATGGAGGGCATATTCGGACATTCTCTAGTCAACTAAAATATTTTCGACAATGCAGTGTTGCCGCTTCTATTAGAAAGCAGTAGCAACTTTGATTTTTCAAATGGAACACTCTGTATTTTATTGCATTTTTAGATTCTCCCTGAAGAGCAGATTTCATCGATCTAGCGGGAATGATTACAGAGATATAGGGTGTGAAAAATCGAAATTTTTCAACTTTAGGAATTTTTTTTGTCGAAACTATTCATTATTGGTCAAAACGGCTCAGATGTCCCTATCTCAACTTTTGATCAATTATCTACTAACATTTAATTGAAACAAATACAGGGTGGTGCAGAATTCAGAATCTTGATCACCCGGTATATGTCCCAATTAAATATCAGTAGATAGTTAATCAAAAGTTGAGATAGGGACATGTAAGCCGTTTTGATCAATGATGAATAGTTTCGACACAAAAAAATCCTAAAGTTGAAAAATGTCGATTTTTCACACCCTATATCTCTGTAATCATTTCCGCTAGACCCCAAGTGTGATACATCGATGAAATCAGCTCTTCAGGGAGAATCTAAAAATGCAATGAAATACAGAGTGTTCCATTTGAAAAATCAAAGTTGCTACTGCTTTTTAATAGAAGCGGCAACACTGCATTGTCGAAAATATTTTAGTTGACTAGAGAATGTCCGAATATGACCTCCATTAAATTTTCAAAATGATCCGCTGTCTGGTTCACCAGAAACGTCTAATGTGCCATCCACCGTGAATCAGCCTGTATGCTCCGTACTTTAAATACCTAATGGTTGGATGCTGATGTTTCCAGTTTGTTTGATAATGTAAAGCAGAAGGCGATTTTTTTTGCAAGTTGAAGTTGTTGCTGCGAGTAACGACACCAACAATCATTTCCAAGGATTTCCATAAGGCCAGTACTTTCCATTTTAACCCTTCTATTAACGTGTCTTAGCATATTTAAAATATATGAGAATGATTTGATACCAACTTTATACGTCAAAGCAATAAAATTGTGAACAATTCATGAATTCTGAAACAGTTTTGACAGGTCAATTTACCCTTGTCAATATTCAATCAAGTAATCATAATCATATTTTTGTACTGATGGCGTATAATTGATGAGATAATTTGATGATATCCAATGGTTAATTTGGACTGTCCTATATGTTTTTACATAATACTCATTATGCTGAAATCAGGTGTTGTTGAAAACAGTGATATTATTCATTAAACTTGTGATTATGTTTTGGGGAATTAATCGTATCATTTCCATCTAGAATCAATCCTATAAAATGTTTTATGGAATGGGTAGTAGTTGTATCATCAATAATTTTTTGCTGTGTAATTTCTTGTTTGTAACACTGCCGAAATCTTATATAATAATCAAGTGGCGCCCTTAAAAAATACGAATTAATCTACGACCCATGAATGCTCCTGGCGAAAAGCTGCCGTAAGTAGTGAATAGATTTTCTTACTTTCGAGTTAGAAGAAAATTAAAGTTATAAGTTTTTAACCTGATGGCAACAAATTCGAATTATAAATACCAAGTTTACTTCACTAAAAAAAAATCTAGTGTAATTCGGTAAGACGATTTAATTCATCAAACATTTGTTTATGTAATGAACCATGTAATGTAATGTCATTTAACCTATAAACATCAAAAAATTTCCAGTGCAATTTCATGCTCCGTCCTCCAAGGAGTAGGAAAAAATTTCCAAGAAATTTGTTTAGCTGCTATGGTAACGATACGAAATACAGGCTTTAAATACCTGGATCGATGACGAAAACGACGCCGTCGATGGTAAGCGAGGTCTCGGCGATGTTGGTCGAGACGACCACCTTGCGGCCGATGGCGCCGTTCTGTTTGGGGGGCGGGGGGTCCTCGAAGATGCGCTGCTGCAAATTGGGCGGCAGCGTCGAGTACAGGGGGATGCACTTCAGCTCGCCCACCTCGGGGCCCAAATTGTCGATTTCTCGTTTGATCCGTTTGCACGCCACCTCGATTTCTTCCTGATAATTTTCAGAAAAAGATGATGTTTGACGAAAATACAATTTTGGATTCAGGAAATGCGCAACAGGTGCGACATCTACAGTGTGTTGCAAGTTGCTCCAACCCAACTCTGTACTTTCGTATTCCTAGGGTGATATATTTGTGGAAATTGCACAAAAATGGATTTTAAAAATTATTTATGGAAAAGATTATTTGTTTCAAACTTAACTTTTATATAAGGAATCTAAGAAAATGGATATAAATCAACTTTATATATACAATTCACTGATATTTTCAAAAATAAATAGGACATTCAGTTCAAAGAACATATCTATGATATGGTGCACACACAAGCTTCTAAAGCTCATTTTGTACCTAATAATATATGTAAACCATATGACTGTTCATGGCTATTGAATATATACTCAAAAAATACTCAAATATAAGAAATAAAAACAACATAACATTGAAATAAAAAAAAAACAAGTCAATTGGACGTAGAAATTGGAATGTTGAGCGGCAGCGTCGAGTACAGGGGGATGCACTTCAGCTCGCCCACCTCGGGGCCCAAATTGTCGATTTCTCGTTTGATCCGTTTGCACGCCACCTCGATTTCTTCCTGATAATTTTTAGAGGGAGATGTTGATTGACAAAAAAAAACAACAATTTGCAATTGAGCGAAATGAGATGCAGGCATCTAACAGGGAGACACTTTTTACATACATAGTTTGGTTTTTTAGTTATATTGAAATTTCCTTGACATTGAACAGTGTTACTATATCTCATTCCCGGAAAATTTTATTGCTAATCTGGCAACTGTGTCTACAAAACAGAAAGAGATGAAGCAACTGGTGCTAACACAATGTTGCCAAGTTAAAAATACCTCATTCCCAGCATAACTTCATTGTTCTTATGTTTCAATATTATTGACAGGAAGGCAGTGATGCTTGAACTTAAATTAAAAGAAAGAGAACCAAGTGAGCATAGAATTCAGAATTTGTATAATGTAATACATAATAACTGAGTTAAACTTGAAAGTACTTTACTGATTTCACTTACCAATTTGAACAATCCTCTAACAGAAATCAACCAAATAACTGATGCAATGTAAATTTTCAATACTACCAATCTTACCAAGAAAAATTCGATTTGGCTCCAAATTTTGATGTAGATGGTCTCATGACCCCCTTTGAGATTACTAAATAACCTCAATAGATATCATTCTGAAATTTTGAGACTCAATCTCACCTTCTGATTTTTTCTCATTTTACAAACTTTGATAGAGGAGAGAAATACCACCTTGGAGCACACCATTTTTTGAGATAAAAAAATCGGCATTTATATATAGTGAATCAAAATAATCTTCAGGGGCATACTATTTTTTTTTCTGAGGTCAGGAACTTGTCAAATGACATCATAAGATAGAAACAATAAAATATAACTTCATTTTTGTTCCCAAATATTTTTAGGTAACTGAGTACAAAATATTTTTGAAAGGAGGCAAAAAATGGGCATTTCAAAATTCTAGTGAATCAAAATCAAATCAAAATGATGTCTTTAGGAGAGTGCACATTTTTTTTAAAGACAAATAAAATTACATCTATTACTTTTTCTTCAATGAATCACGTGATGATATAAAAAACTGCACAAATAATGACAACTGATGAATTTCCATTATTTTCTCTCTTTTTTTTCCCACTCATTATAATTACATCGCCATTATTTCATTATATTATAATAATATGTACCTAACTTTTGTAGAGTTCACTAAAAATATCCATTATTTGAATAGAATTTAATACTAAATGATGTAATGACTCAAATAAATGTACTGCCTGGTCAAAAAAAGTCATAATTGAAAATCACAATAGCAGGAGCTGATTTTTTTCCAACTTTTTTGAGGTACTTAGTTGTATCTGAGCACAGTAATCTGATGTATCTTGGACATACATCATTCATGATCATTCATGTCATTCCTACTTGAAAATTAATCACAATTTATATATTATTTGTAGAAAATGTATTAGTGAAAAAGGAAGAAACACAATAACTGAAATAAATAAATAAATATCCAAACTTTTCTTTACCTGGCCAGTCAAAAAGAGCAAAATATCCCCAGCAATTTCCTCACACATATGAATCTGAATGACAGTCCTGATGGCTGCCTCCAGATAGTCCCTTTCAGGCTCTGGGGTATAGAATATCTCTACAGGATGTGTACGGCCAGGGACATTCATCAATGGGGCATTGTCAAAGTAGCTCTGGAACTTGCCAGCATCCAGAGTGGCACTCATGATAACCAATTTCAGATCTTTACGTTGCTTGACCACCTCTTTGAGAACACCCATGAGGATGTCAGTGGCAAGAGTACGTTCATGGGCTTCATCAAGAAGGATACACTGGTAAGCCTCCAACATTGGGTCACTCATGCCTTCTCTCAACAACATACCATCTGTCATATACCTTTGAAGAAAGAACAAACCAGGAAAAGTCAATCAATAAAACCAAATAAAGATTTGCATACCACTTACTTGAGAATTGTTTTTGCTGATGAGCAATCTTCAAATCGAATACTATAACCAACCTCTTGTCCTAAAGCTACATCCATTTCCTCAGAAACTCTCTGTGCCACAGACATGGCAGCTACTCTTCTAGGTTGGGTGCAACATACAGCTTTGTTGCCCACTGTTCTTGAGTATTCTACACACCACTGAGGAATTTGGGTGGTCTTGCCAGATCCAGTTTCACCGACTAGTACAATGCATTGGTGCTCTGCCAGGATTCGCATGAAATCGGCACGGTACTCAAAGACAGGCAAGCATATCCTCTTCCGGAAGAGCTCATGGTATTTATTGGTGTAAGGTAAGCCGGTGTATGCATTTATTGAACCCGATACTGGTTGTGCTACTGCTGTACTGATGCCGCGTTCTTCTCTGAAAATTGATTATAGAAAAAAAAACATTTACCTACTGCTAGTGGTATTGATTTGTTGTGTACGGTTTATATACCTTTTCTTTTTGATGAAGGGATCCATTACTTCAATTCTACGTTTCGACATTGTGAAAGGATTGTTTCAAATGTGCGAAAGGGGAGAAATTTATATTTATTAAAATATTCTTTCTACCGCATGCATCACAAATGATCACAAAAGATTATTGGATATCGAAAATCAAAATGTCGGATTGGCAATGCTACCAACCACGATGTAGGGAAACATCGTGTTACCAACATGGCAATTCGTGTCGCCCAGACATCCGCCAAAAGAGAAATTTGAAAAATTCTTGCTGAACTGAAATGGCGGAATTTCAAATTAAATGGGTGTATTCCGAAAAAGCTCTTCGAGCAGGTTCGATCTTGTGATGGGATAGATGAGGCATCTATGATAGATGATTAGATGTTATGTCTGGGCCAAACGAATTCGTGCAACCAAAAGAGGATGCCAACCACGCAACAAAAAAATCAACTGAACCAAAAATACTTCAAACATAACCTCAACTTTCCCTCTTCTCTTTAGTTATCTTCAGCTGAAGTTCTGGTTTCTGCAAGTGGTAGAAGCAAAGAATAGTTTCTTTGGTAGAAGACGGCTGTGGGTGGTAGTGCCGGTAGTGGTGTAATTTTAATTTTTCAAATAAAACAGTTTGATCTGATTAAACTTAAATGGGGTAAGCTTGTTTAAGATTTTTTATTCACATTCTTACTTCTTAGGCACAAAAAGAATAATCTTTGACAGCACCAGTATAAACTGAGAAATCCAAAACATTGAGATTTTGATCTGTTGCTGTGAAGAGATATTCAGCATCAAATGCCAAACTATAAATTGGTGAACTTCTTTGGTACCTGTTTCCTTTGCAAGATTCCATGAAGTACATCTGAAATATTTTGTTTGTTCAGTCATGGAACATAAACTACTAAAATATATTACTACCTGTACAAATTTTGTTTGGCGAATATCCCACAATATGACTCTCCCATGCATCTGAGTCCCTACCATGATGGTATTGTGGTAATCATAATCCATGCAGTATAGCCCTGAACCATGAGGATCAGTGAAACACTGTTCACAATTTCCTGTACGAATATCCCATCTTTTCAAGAAACTATTGTACCCACAAGACCATAGAGTTTGTTCCCCATCCCATCTTAGGTCACAAATACCTTTATCAGGATGCTTTGTAGAGCCAAGATGAATGATTTGATGAGCTGGTCTAGAAGTTATGAAACATAGATAAAAAATCACTACTTAGTGCTTTTATTGAATTTACCTCTCAACATCATGAATAAAAATTGAACTTGAATTGGTTTTTCCAGATGTTCCCACAGCTATCATAGATGTATCTTCTGATAGAGAAACTTTCCATATTAAGTCTTGTAAAATTTGGCAGTGGGATTCCACAGCGTTCCATTTTGGATCCTCTTCTAGTTTCCAGATTTTCAAAATACTATCCTTTGATCCAGAAACTATAAGGTTTCCTCTCTGACTCATATCTATTGAAGTTACATCAGAGTTATGGCATTTTTCTACTTCAAATAATGTTGATTTTTCACACAAATCTATAAGCCAAATTCCACCTTCTCTGCAAACTGTGCATGTTAAATAATTCAGATTGCTTTTGATTCAAAATATTACCTCAATCCACAAACTAGAAAGTTACTATTCAGTTGAAAATTGACTATGTCTTCATTCCTTTCTGTTTTCAGGGAAAAACTGGGTTTGTGGATATTGATGCCATTGTAATTCCTTTCAAAACACAAAATCTCATTGCCTCTGCTGAACCACAAGAATTGATCGTTCATATGAATCCATGGCATGATCTTCTTCTTTGAATACAACAAAGATTTTTCAGAGTATCTCCCAATTGTCCAATTTTTATCTATCCTCATTTTCTCCAAAGCAGATAATCCATGCATACACCTGGAAGAATCAACAGATTTAACTATACAAAACAAGGGTATCTATCTAGGGCATCTCAACTTACTTTGTTGAAAATTTTGGATTCATCTGATTAGTCACAATAGTTGTAACTTTAAGGAGAGTATGATCCCAAGAGTTGATTATGTCATTGAATCTTGTACAGGTTTGCTTCAATCTACATAGATCAAGAAAATCCAAGTAGCCAAATATATTTAGAAGTAGTTCTGTTGAAAGATCTTTCAAAAAGCAATGAGGGGAAACCATTATTAAATAATTTGATGCCACAAGTCATGTTCATACTAGAATGGATTTCATATAATGCACATAACTGGAACACTACAGACTATACAGAGAGACTAGACTAGAGCGGACCGGACTTGGAATGTAAAAAGGTGAGTTTTGAAGGTTTGAGATTTTCACTTGTGAAGTTTACAGTTTCCTTTTCCTCCCTAACCTAACAAACAAAATTTGACAGGAATGACAAGTGACAATGTTCACTCTCGTTTTCTTCTTCTTATATTTTTCTTCTTGTTTCATTATTTTCTTCAACTAGGGCTTGTTGGATTGAATTTTATAGTCTTTGCTCTTGAAGATTTGTGTGATTTACATTCAATATTAGTCTTTATTTCACATCATAAAATATATACAATCTCAATCAACATAATATCACAATAATTAAACATAATTCGAGTCTATGATATACAAATTTGAGGATCTCGTGAAGTTATTTCCAAAGCTTTTTTCTGCAGCAGCATTTGCCTAAGAGATGAAGCTTCTTCGCGGAGAGTCAAAACCTGAGCTCTAAGAATAGCGTTTTCGTGTTCTAATATCGTTGCTCTTAAGGCAACCTGAAAAAATTAAGAAAGTTCCAGTAAAACATCGGTAAAAATTGAATTGCAGTGTTTTTGACGCACCTGATCTTCCCGCATTTTTCTGGCGTCCCTTGACTTTTTGGCGGCTTGGTTGTTTCTTCTTCTCCTTTCAAAGTATTTATCGTCTTTTTGTTCTTCTGGTATTGGTTTTTTCTCTCCCCGTTGCCTTCTCAAATTTGTTGCATACAGAGTCGATGCTAAATCTGATGGGCTTCTGGGGCCTTAAAACAAAATATATATTTTATACTGGGTGTTTAGCACTCAAGATTATTGGGTGAACTGATTTGTTGGTAAAATCTATATTTTATAGGGTGTGCTTTTCTTATAAGTAGGTATTTGTTTTACTCACGTAACTGCTCAGGTACAATATGCATATGTGGATGTTGGTATCCATAAGGCACAGTAGGAGATAAAATAGCTTTGTTAGAACTATTTCCCAAAGATTTGTCATGTTCTGCTGCTGCTGAAGAACATAGATGTAGATCTGGGTTGACAAAACTTTTTATATATATGTCTGAAAATAAAAGTCATGCTTAAGTACCCATGAACAATTTTTCCCCTGCTACTGTCTCAAAACTGTCGTTCTGACGTTTCTTTTGACACAATAAAATGATTGATAGGCATATTATTGCTTGATAACACGTTCAGTGTCTAAGAGCTAAAGTTGAATTTTAACACCTCGGAACTAAAACTGAGTCAGCTGATAGCTGCTGACGCTGAGTGTGATATGTGCTTAGTCGTGAGTCACAAAATTGTGGTTCCTTCAATTATATTTTATTTTAATTGAAAACGCAAATCAATGTACTATATCAATCTGTTGTTTTTGAAGTTGAACTTTTAACAAGGTTACTTATTCATCGAAAAGGCCCACCACTATATATTCATGTTATTTTTCATCGAGATAGAAAAGCACTTTTACAGGGTCCATCCCTGGAAGCGTGAAAAAGAACAAATTGATGTTTTAAATGGAAAACCCTGTTTTTTATATTTTTTCGGGATTTCTGATGTAATCAGAAAAATATATATAATATATAGATACAGTAACTATATGATGTCTTCTATTTTCGCTTATATTATCACCAGTTTTTTTTACCCCACAAAAACAATTTTTATATGTGTTGGCTCTTCTAAAAATATCGTGTTAGCCATGAATGATGATAATTCGACAGTTGTAGAAATTGTTTTTCTGGGGTCAAAGGAGTGGTGCGACATAGAATAAGTGGAAATAGCAGATATCATACTGTATGTATGTATTTTTGTGATCACGAAAAATCACAGATTTCGAAATGAAAGGAAAAGACATTCCATTAAAAAAAAATTGTTTTCGTCACGCTTCTAGAGATAACCCTCTAAAAATTCTGATAAGGGCTGTGGAAATGCCGAATTACGGCATTCAGTTTCCGCATATTGTTTTTTTTTTTCGACTAAAAATGACGAAAATAATACATATATAGGGATGGGTCTTTTCTATGGATAACTCTGTACATACATCTATAATTTCAACTCTGTTCAAAGTAAATATTCGGTGGACGCAGTTATCCACAAACTGAATTGAACTTCGCCCTTTGCTTCTGAAAATTATTATCCACCCATAGTTTTCATATTATTTGCTATTCAGAAGTAATAAAGACGTTTATTATGATTATTATCATAAACTTGCGTGTTCATCTTGAAGCGTTATCAAAGTTTTCCTTTTGGATATTATTATCTCAGAAATGGTCTTCACGCGTTCGGGAAATAAATTAATGTGGTCAGATAACTATATAACGTGCATAAATCGTTTTGGAAGAAATCGAGCAAAAGAATGAACACGATTTTGATGTAACGCCACACTGTGCCAGGCTCTAATAGATATGCGAGAAGGAAATTCTTCATAGTTTTCGTTTCGCACGAATGACACATAGAAAATAGCGTTCGTTCTAATTTAGGACTCCAACAGGATAAAGTGTGGATGTCGAATAAATAATGAATACATTTGTATCAGAAAAGAAATAGGTATATACAGTGTGACTCATTTGAAAGCGAGCCATCCTCATAAATCTTTTATTTATGTGTAGCGATTTTGACGAACTTGTTTTTTGAATGTGGAGGGGGAAAAGGTGCATTTTGGCGCGTAGCGGTGTCTACTTCTTCTAAAAACAAAGGCCTACTATTATTAGCGATTTTTTTTTTTAAATCTGCGTACGCCACTGAAATCTACGTACTCTGTTACTCTGAAATAGATCTGTACCAAATTTCATGAAGACATATTCAACATTAACAATTCTATGAAATTACTATTTATTAGATATATATTATATGCATTAAAAAGCTTTTCATGTTGTTCTCTTTATCAAACCTCCTTAGAGGAGTTGAGTCGAAAGATCTGCATTAATTTGCGGTCATCTGTGACTTCGATAATGGGGAAGACCACTGAGGGAAGAAATCCGTGCAAACCTCTTTCAATCGACGAATCATGATCTACATTTTATGTACAATCAATATTATGAGTTGAAGTTGAAGGGAATCGAATCTATATCGTTTTGAAATCAGCATATTATTATTCCATTCGATATTTCAAACAGCCAAATATGATGGTGGAGTCGTGACGTATTAGTCCCGAACTGTAGCTATCTCTCTCTGATACCTCGTCATTCTGCAGTGTTGCAGTGTAATTGGTCAGTTCAAGGACAATAGGCGTGTTGGGACTAAGACGTCGCACCAGTCACACCAATGAATTGATGACATTTCAAATGGCGCAGGAATTGTGTGTTTTGAAATGGACATATACTAATTTATTTTTTTCATCGTCTTAGCATGAATGAAAAAATTCAAAATTAATTCACTGGTAGTTTTTCAGTATAGAGTTCACGATAATGTCGTTTTAAAAAATCAGTGGTCTTCCCCATTGCAAAGCTCACTAATACAGGGTATTAATATTTCCATGAAAATTCTTTTTTCTATTCATTTCTCAATTGTCTTTTCATCAATCTCAATGAAATGTTGTAGTTTCGTTAATAATAATATGGAACTTCTTCTAGTGCAATTAGATTCGAAATAATAGTTCCAGTGGCGTCACAGTCGAACATTGAATTATATCTGTTGAATATTCAAAAAGAGTGCATGAAAAATCAAAATCCTCTGAAATCGAGAATTTACATAATCTCTCAAATCGAATAGAATAATATGAGGTATTAAAATATGAAAATATAACTTACCAATATGTTCAGTATTGAAATGAAAATTGAAATGTTTAGGAGAAGTATACTAATTGATTTTTTTCGGTATTATTTAGATACACCATGTATATGAATATCACAACATCAAGCTTCTCAATGCATGATAAACAACTTGTCTGTAATTTAGTCATATAATAATTGATTTAAGAGGATGCCAATTCCAGTGGCGTATGCGGATTTTTTTCAATGAAAATCGCTAATATGAATTCTGAATTTTTCAGCATCTAAATGTGATCTAGTTGGCCTCGGTTTCTAAAAAGAGTGGCTTCAAAATACGCCTTTCTCCCCTCCACATAAAAAAAAATTATCAAAATTGGTTCATAAATAAAAAACCTATCAGGGTGGCACTCTTTCAATTGGGTAACTCTGTAGGTAGAACATTTAAAAAAATTCACAAACGATGAGATTTTCATAAAATTTTTAATCAACACTCCAGTAGTAGCTCGGAAAGTTGTATAATTTCAAAGCTGGGTAAGCACAAGGTGGAACATAGTTTCCATTTCAAAAAGTTGAATTAAATGTATGAGTTTGATGTGAAATAGATTGAAAACTACGAGACGTTTGAATAACATTTCATTCGAGAAGTAGAATTTTTGTACCTATAGGTACTTTTCAAACCTGTTGATAAAGTTAATAGAAAAAGTTTACTTAATATTGTTTTGATATTTCAAAATTCAGAATTCACTATGTGCATAGGACTGTATGGTGTGTGAATATTTGTTTTTCTTAGTACTTCCAAAGATCATACTTCGATGCTTTGAAACTTGTTTTTGAAAAAATGGCGAATGCTCAAATATGTCTCCGCCAAATTGTGTTAAAATGCATATTTTCAATGAATGTATGGTGTGTGAATATTTGTTTTTCTTGGTACTTCCAAAGATCATACTTTGAAACTTGTTTTTGAAAAATGGCGAATGCTCAAATATGTCTCCGCCAAATTGTGTACAAATGAATATTATCAATAATTATTAATTGATTCATTTTATGCTTCATTGTTTTGAAAAGAATGATTGACCATTGAATTTTCATTAGAAAAACTTTGTGGCTAATTTCAAAGCTCTGAGTAAGTAAATAAGTTAGGGACATAGATTTAAATCCGTAATTGAGTGTTTTTTTAATCTGTTGATTGAATTGTTAGCAAAATGTTCACATATTTTTGTTGATATTTCAAAATGTGTATTTTACTCTGCATCATTAAATTCTCATTTCCAGAAATGTATTGGTACCAAATAAAAAAGTTTTCCATGCAAATGTGTCTAAATAATATAAGTGTGGGGTGTAAATATATTCAAATGTCCCTATTATAAGAACATTATCGTTATTTTTTCTATCAATGGTTTCGAAAAAAGGGGAATTCTCAATAATTCAACCAAAATTTGAAGTATTTAGAAATGAATATTATGTTACACGAATGTTATCGTAATCTTTTCTATTATTGTTTTCGAAAAATGGGCGAATGCTCAATGTGATACCGCCAAAATTTCAAGAATTTCGAAACGAATACATTATTCTCTTATTTTGTTATTGAAGATATTGATTGAAAAACCCGGAGATGGAATATTCTTTTCTTTAGTTGATATTTATCGGATTTATTCTCTTCGTCTTTAAGTAAAAAATATCAGCATTATTTCAATATACCTGTAGAACGGACAAATTATCAGGGGAATTATCCCAAAATGTAACTGCGCCTAAAATGTAATTGTTATAAAAACCTAAAAGAGAAATTCAATCCATATGCAGTGACATGTTGTTTGCAGAAGAATACTTGTGCATATTGAAAATAATAAAATTTCATTCATCTTCGGCCATTTCTGGAACAAGTCAACTTCCGTTCTCTTTTTGAATTTTGTATGAAAATGGTAACAAATTACAAATTGAATTCCCTTGACATGTCCTATACTCATCTCTATTTTTACAGACGAAAATATATGTTAACTCTCATCAAAATTAAATCAGATATGGGTTAACGATCTATTTCATACAATGGAACAATTCTCTATAATGAATTACCTGCCAGACTGAAGAAAAAATTAAGTGTTGAGAAATTCAAAAAAAGAACTGAAAAAATACTTATGTCTTTGATAAATCAATTCAAGAACTTATATTCAACAGTTTCTAGAAGAAACAACATTATATGTACTATGTATATGATTTATAAATGATCATCTGATTATCTAATTTTTTTTAGTTGCTCTTTCATAATTTTCCCTGCTATAAACATATACGTTTCTGAGGAATAATAAAGATTATTATTATTATTATTATTTGAATCGGATTTTCAAACAGCTCTCGGAGGGGGGTCCAGACCCCATGGACCCCCCCTTGATTACGCCTCTGTACTGTTTCGCACCCCAAAAAAATCCAAATATCAATTTT